GGGAGGGGAGTGGGGGCTGGGTGGTTAGAGCAGCGGGGGCCAGGACTCCTGGGTTCTCTCCCCGGCTCTGGGAGGGGGGTGGGGTCCAGTGGTTAGAGCGGGGGGGGCTGGTAGCCAGGACTCCTGGGTTCTCCCCGACTGTGGGAGGGGGGTGGGGTCCAGTGGTTAGAGCAGGGGGGCCGGGGCCAGGACCCCGTATGTCCCAGCAGTGGGGGAGGCCCGAGTCCCCCGCACTCCAGCCCTGCCTGTCTCCCCTTTGCCCCCTCCCAGGCCTCTCTGCTGCCGCCGGGATCGGCGTGGACGACCTGCGGCGTCTCTGCATCTTGCGTCTGAGCTTCGTCAAGGGCTGGGGGCCGGACTACCCCCGCCAGAGCATCAAGCACACCCCCTGCTGGATCGAGGTGCACCTGCACCGTGCCCTGCAGCTGCTGGACGAGGTGCTGCACACCATGCCCATGGCCGACCCGGGGCCCGTCAACTAGTGGGGGCACCGCCCGGCCACGCGGCTTCCAGCCTCGGCTTTAAAGGGCCGGCGCTGCCTTCCATCCATGAGCGTCCGTGGGGCCTTATCTTACCATGTGGGGTGCCCGGACTTCCCCCTCCCCCACGATCCTGCCCCTCCCACTGAGCCCTGAACCGGCCGCCACCCTGGAGCCAAAGCGAGCCGGCCCCATCGGAGCGCCCCGGCTGCCGGGAGTCTCTGGGCTCTGTCGAGACTCTAGCAAGGGAGAGACTGCCCAGATCTGCTGGTCCCCTCTGGGCTCTGCCAGGGCTCGCGGTGCGCCGACCGGCCGGGGACTGTCTAGCCTGCTGGGTCTCTTCCAGCTCGGTGATCTAGGAGGCGTTTTATCCTTCCCTCTCCTGCTCCATCCACCCACCCCATCCCTCGGGCGACACTTCCTCGTCGTCTCTCCCCTTTGCCCCACGCTCGGCCAGGCGCTGCCCTGCGGGGAGGGGGTTCTGGGCTGCTCTCCCCCCTGCCCCCATGAAAGCCCTCCCGGTCGCACTCACTTCTTGGGGTGGTTTAATTTAAATTGTAATAAAAAGCCAAATAACGAGGGCCCTACCAAATTCACGGCCATGAAGAACGCGTCACGGACTGTGAAATGTGGCCTCCCGCCGTGAAATCGGGTCTTTTGTGTGCTTTTACCCTATGCTATACAAATTTCACAGGGGAGACCAGTTCTCAGACAGGAGGGCCTGGCCCCACATGGAGTTGCGGGGGGCATCACATGGTTATTTAAGGGGGGGTCGCGGTATTGCCACCCTCACTTCTGTGCTGCCTTCAGAGCTGGGCGGCCAGAGTGGGAGCATCGCAGAAGTAGGGGTGGCAGTACCACAACCCCCCCCATAACCTTGCAACCCCCCCTCACACACACACACCCCTCCTGTTTGGGTCAGGACCCTACAATTACAACACTGTGAAATTTCAGATTTGAATAACTGAAATCATGAAATTTACGATTTTTTTAATCCTATGATGGTGAAATTGACCAAAATGGACAGCGAATTTGGTAGGGCCCTACAAATAACTACAAGTACCAAAAATCCCAGCCCGGCACTGCCGGGGCCTGGCCTCCTTCGCCCGCTGCAGGGAGCGTGGGTAACGGGAGAGCCTGTAGCCAGTGCCCCCTGGTGGCCAGCTCTGTAGGTGCAGCTCATTGGCCTGCCCTACAGCTCTGCCGGTCGGCTGGGTTTGCACCGTGGGGAGCATCTCAGTCCTGGGCCAGTTGAGGGGAAGGAGCCGCGCAAGTGACGTGCTTTCCTCCCATGCACTGGGCCCTCTGTCAGCGGGAATTCAGACACTTCATGTGGCTTTTTTAATCGTTATTTAAATGATCTGGGTTTTTTCCACTGGTCTCATGTCTGCTCCTTCCCGCCAGGGCGCGCTGGGGCGTGGGAGGGGGAGATTAGCTGGTTTCTTTCCCCGCAGCGGAGGCCGAGACAGGGGCACCCGCTCAGACCCGGTTCCCTGGTGCTTTCTGT